CTACCTATGATGTCAATTACAGGCCTCTCTCATCTTTTTAAGTGGGAGAACTTGCACAATTGGTGACTGACTAAATACTTATTTTCCCCACTGCAGGTCTTTTTAGAGTTTTTTGTAGTATTATATGTTGTTGGGGTGCAGAAAAAAGTTCAGGCTCAGGATTTTTTTTCCACTATCACCCCTTCTAAGTCTGTTATTTCCATGTTTTGTCTTCTGTTCTCAGGACATATCTTCACATGAAAGCAACATCCTTGGCGCCTTCTGTGACATGAATGTAAGATTTATTTCTGTGTTCTCTGGAGCGACAAATCATGCTTCTCTGTCTTGCAATTAAATGGACAAGTCTGGATTTGGTGGTTGCAAGGAGAACTGTACTTATCTGATTGCGTTGTGCCAAGTGTAAAGCATGGTAGAGGGGGTCTGGTTTTGGTACAGGGTTATTTTCAGAAGTTATGCTTGGCCTCTTAGTTCTAGTAAAAGGAACTCTTAGTGCTTCAGCATCAAGACATTTTGGACAATTCTATACTCCCAACTTTGTGAGAACAGTTTGGGAATGGTCCTGATTTTTTTTTAAATGTTATTGGTATACCATGAAACTGGTAATAGCCCATGTTTCAGCTCACAACAACACAAATGTGACACCTGTCTTGATTTTTGTTTGTTTCCTTGAAGATGCATTTGCTTCAGATAGAACTGATTTGTTTTGAGATTATCCCTGTTTGATTGCTTTCCACTATCGACTAAGTGCTTGACTTCTCCTTATTCTAAAGGCTCTAATGCATTTTGTTTTTATTTTGAAAGACAAATCAGTTTTAGTTGATGTCACTTCACTGTAAGCTGTCAAATGTTGTGTGTGCCCTGTTGTGTTTGAGTTTTGATGTGTCTAAACTTGATGTCTGTATAAATGGGCTGTGTTTGTGACCAGGATGTGGAAGTGCCCCTTCACCTGCTGCGTTATGTCTGCCTGTTCTGCGGGAAACACGGCCTTTCTCTGATGAAGGAATGTTTTGAGCTGGGCACTCCAGAGAGCCTCCCTTTTCTCATCGCCCACGCCTTCATCACCATCATCTCAAATGTGAGTCTTTTTAAGTAAACAGGAGTGTTTCTGTCTTGGTTTTATATTTTAAAACAAAACTAAGATTTTAAGAATTTTTGGGAAAACATCTCTTAAAACTGGTCAGTTCTAACGTTCCTAATTTTATGATAAAGGTTTTATTTAGAAAAGGTTCTAAAGTTAAATTACCCGATGCTTAATAGCATTCCTTGAAGCCCATTTCACTGAAAACATTTCATGATAGAGTTTTAAAATAAATGTGTTTTCTGATTAAAAGAGACAGAATTTTTGCTTGAAAGTATGTGTTGAGAATGAGTCTTAGCTACCACTACAATTATGTCTTAATATCTTGAATAAAGAAAAAGATTTTGAGTTGCATTTTRAAGTTGACTGAGGTTGATTAGTTTGTGGCAGCCATTTGGAATTAGATTTACTCCAAATGTTAATTCATTATACATGCACAGTGCCCTCCAAAAGTATTGGAACAGCAAGTACTTGTGTGTTTGTAAGAAAATTGTATTTTTTAAATTTATTTTACAATTTTACAACTATAGTCATGCTGTATATTTGATTCGATACAGTCAAAGGGGCTGCTCGCCTATAAGAATGGACAGCCAACTTGTTCTAAATAAAAGAAATGTGTTTTTAAAGTCATTGTGCAATGATTAAAGTCTAACTCGGTAAGTACCGTATTTTTCGGACTA